ATCTGTTTCCCCTGTTCAATAAATATTAATTTTTAAAAAGTTATTTTTCTCAAGTGAGTTATAACAGATTTATAAGAAAAATTGATAGGTGAACTATTATTACATAAATAATTTCTGTTGATTACACTGGAATTTGTAGTGCTGCCAGTATTGAACATTATTTTATTGAGAAGTTTTCTGGGATAGGAATTTTCTATCGATATATCTCTAAGAAGTCTGAGATTTTTTTGCTCGAGGGAAGGGTGTACTAATTCTTCTATTATTTTTTTCAAACACAGTATTACATTGATTTTAACTGATTTTTTATGAAAAGAATAGTAATTGATATATCTTCCTAATACTCTATACCTTGGAAATTTATCTTCAAATATCATAAAACTTTTTCATAATGAACAAAATATTAAAACTATAAAGAATTTGAATACCAAATTGAAAGATAAAACGGATACTACAAAAAAGTCAAATGTGATTTATAACATACCATGTAACAATTCTATTTGGATTATATTGGAACAACATCTAGAATTCTTAAAGATAGAATAACTTCACATGAAAGTGATATAAAGTTTAATAAGAAATCATGTGCATTAGCGCAACATTCTATAGAAACAGGATATAAACCAGATTACTCTAATATCAGCTGATCAACGGAAAAACAGATTTTTAAACAGAACAAAGTTTTACATACAGAAAAAAATATTTCCAAACGCCTTTTCCTTTAAATGGTTTAAATTAACAAGTCTTCTGGTTGTATGGACAAGATAACTGACATTGATAATCTCAGCAGTATATACAGTAACTTATTGGAACTACATCAAAAAACATAATGATAATAATGAAAATTGTATCATTAACTCTCCTTTTAGAGTGCATGAGTGGATGAATGCAGTGTCACTTGTTTGAGACAACTATGTTGCTTTCTTTGATGTACCGGCATGTTTGCATTCTTGAAATTTTTAGACAATATCGAATGTACTATAAAAATATAGCAGCATCAGTGTCTGGGATGAACAGAAAAAAAGAAAGGACAGAGGAAAAATGGAAGAATAAATTTAAACACGTTACAAAAGTGTAATGAAGTCTTGATAAAAAATAAATATTTATAAGTTTTTATGATAAATATGACTAGTCTCGACATATACGTGTGTGCGGATTATATAGTCTAGGCTTCTATTATTTTCGGTGAAGATTCTTCGGCGAAAAGTCGATGGGTTCCTCGCTTCCACCATCGTTGTTCTTTAGGTAGTATCGTTTTCACCACATATTTATATTCAATGGAAGGTGAATGTTCATGTAGTAATAGTCTCATGACTAAACCTGAAAATTAACAAAATATATAGTTTTGCGAACACAGAAAGGCTCGACAAAAACAAATGGAAAATAAACACGACAGTGAAATTAATGAATTTTCATTTCACGATTAATCTATTAACAACATCTGTTAGTTTTGTAGAAATGAGTTAGTATCATTTTTTAGAAATGTAAAGTTACGAAAGCATTTACGAATTATATATACTTCGGGTGACCAGTTGAAGTAAGTTTTAAAACTATACAGAAAGAAGATGATGCATTATTTTGTTTAATTTTTTCAAAAATGTAACATAATACTTGTTCACGGAAAAGATCAATCATCTCGTTAGATAATGAAAAACGAGTAGCAGCAATGTTTTCAGAGGTTTCTATGAGTACAAAAAACAAATAGTGTCAACATATATTTTTAAGTTTGATATTGAAATTCATTGTCGTCACATTTTTCATTGCATTCAATTTAGTTCATATGGAAATTTCAGTACCGCATCAAGAGGGGATTAATTCATTTTCATTATTGGGAAATTTATTCAGGAAACCGGTGAGCAAGCATGTGGATAGTTAAGAATTTTGAATGTAATAATACATTACTTACTAAAGTGTTCATAACTGAATTTGAATTGGTCACCACTATGTATTTATGATATTTTTACTGAAGTACCCTAAAAGTATTCTAAAATTACAACTATTAAACTATAGAGTTTTTCCGTAGCAGCCTCACGAAAACCAGGTCACCAAACGCGGACTGTGATTCCAAGAATTGCATTTACCGGATACCCTGTGAGTGCGGAAAATCCTATATTGGTGAAACTAAGAGGCCATTGAATGTTCGCATTGCAGAGCACAAGAAGCACACACAGCGAGGAGAAACCAGCAAATCAGGAATAGCAGACCATGTTTGGACCCATCAACACAACATCGAGTGGTCCCAAGCTGAGATCTTGCACAAAGAGGAACATTGGTTTAGGAGAAAATTCAAGGAAGCCGCATACATGTTGTCCAACAACGTATTCAGCCAGGCCAGCGTAGAAATACGCAACATATGGAAACACATCATTAAGCGAAAAATGGCCAACTCCCGCCAAAACGGTCATCTCCCACGGAACCAATGAAGCGGAAAACGGAAAGCAGGGATAAGTGAAAGTATTTGAACGACCGGAGGAATCAGTCCAGTCATCATCCGAAGACGATTGTAGATACTAACAATCGAAACGTCGTGAACTAACGTGACTTGGAATCTCTACACTTTTTATTTGTATTTTCTTTTCTCATTCCTTTATTTTTATTTTGTTTTTATTTATTCAATTGTTATATTTTTACTTGTAGTTTATTTCACTATTATTTCATTTCAGGTTTATTTTGCTTAATATAATTGTTATTTTCAGCTATTCATTTTCAATTATTCTGTTTTAGTTGTTTTTCATTAAGCGCTTCCACACAGTGTGTATGAGATATCATTGAACTTTTTTATTCGTTTGAAAGACATATTGATGCCATTATGTGTGGATTATAACATCGTTCAAATGTCCGCCACGGCTTCTATAGGTGGAGCGCATCCGAAACGTCCAATTTCTCATGATGCTGGCGCATAAGTATGCATCAACGGCATAGGTTACGTTATGTTTGAGAACTGCTGTGGTTTGGGGCTTATTCGCATACACCTGCGACGTAGGAAAGCCTCACAAGAAAAGTCTAATGGGGTCAAATCGCACGATCTTGATGGCCAGTTCACATCTCCTCAAGGTGAGATGACCATACCCTCAAATCGCTTGTGTGGAAGATCCGATGTGACATGAGTTGTGTGGCACGTAGCGCCTTCCTGTTGAAGATACATGTCGTTGGAGTCCAGATCATCGGGGCCTATAGTGCTTGCCGTTGACAATGATGACCTGGCCAACGTTGTTCTCAAAGAAATATGGACCGATGAGGCCGTCAGTCCAAAATCCACACCAAACAGTGACTTTTTCGGGATCTATTGGCCCAAGTCACGACGCAAAATTGGTCAAGGCCGAGTTCTTGTGAGCGACGCGAAATCTACTGCATCAAATTCTCCTGCACACTCTCACAGACAGCGGCGACGTTTCCCACAGATTTTGCGTTTCGTCGACGTACGGGCATTGGTCGATCGTTTACTGAACCAGAGTACTCAAATTTATCCACCACATTGCGAATAGTCCTCTCGGCGGTAAATACGATGGAAGTGTTTTCATTTCTACTACTTGGTAGCCTCATGGCCTTATTGCGTTCATTCACCATCTTTTTCACTTATTTCAACAATCTTGTTTCCTTGAACAGCATAAAATATAACGAGCTGTCTCTGTTGCTGCATTGCCCGCAGCTAAGGTCTTAGTAAATCCCTATTTTGTTCAGGTGTCCTCTCAATGGGCAGTATCCGGTGGGTGGCCCTGTGATTGTTCTGAGCCGATCCCTGCTTTGTTGAAAAAGTTATTCAGTTCTCTTCTCGGAGGTTTCTTTTATGAAGGTTTTGCTGTGTGTGTTTTCGGTTATGTTTTCGTTAAAAACATAAGAAGGTTTTTATAGACTCATGTAGCAGAAATGTTGGTACTCCCATAGCTGGTTCAGGGCCCATATATGGAATTGAGTATCTGTGTGTGATACACTTATTGCCGTTCTCGTTGTCTGTGGTACCTGGTACCGGGCCAATTCGGCCAATTTTCTCAGTTCTTCACGACAGTTTTGGCCCTTTTGGTCTATTGGTGCCCCAAATTTTGCCTGGTTGTATGTAAAAATATCGATTAGTTTATTTTGTTGAGGTTTCTAATGAACGTTCCTTGGGCATTGCAAAATTGCAAACACTTCAATCGATACAAAGAAACTGCGGAGGACATAAACTGGGACTAGGACATAAGATATGTTCAACGGCAAGAGATGACCAATATTTGAAAATTCAATCTCTGCGAAATCGCACGCTTACAGCTCCGCATCTCACGAATGATTTACTGAGCACAAAACAAGTTAACAAAAGTGTCAACTGGAATGAACATCACTGGAAAAAAATTCTTTTTTAACTTGTACATAACTTTAGCTTTGGTGGTGGTTCCATTGTTGTGGGGTGGCATTAGTTGGGACAGTCGCACCGAGCTTATAGAGGTGAATTTAAGAATGAATACTGACTGGTACATACGCATCATCCTTGAAGAGCATGTTTTATCTTACCGCGGCTTCATTGGTTACGATAGTTTCGTGCTAATGCATGATAATGCTTGTGCACATGCTGCAAGAACAGTCACCCAGTATCTTGAAGGTGTTGGACTTGAGGCAGTTGACTGGACACCAAACAGTCTTGACGCAAATCCCATAGAACACATTTGGGACATCCTAAAGAGACATATACGAGCACGAAATCCAGCTTCTTACTCAATTGCAGAATTAAGAATTGCTGCACAGGAAGAATGGAATCGAATTCCACAAGGCACCATCAAAGACGTTTTGTGGGGTATGCCCAGGAGGAAGCAGGCTATCGTTAGAGCTAAGGGGAAGACACACTAAGTACTAAACTGTTATTATGTTTCCTCAAAGAACTTTCACTTTGCCGTCATTGTTGTTTGTTCTGATTAAATATTATTACCAAAACTAGCCTATTTCATCACTTCTTCTAATAGTGTGTTATCAATATTTTTTTCTCTGAGTGTATATACATATTCCGAAATTTCGGTTTTTCCCGATTCCTCTTAACTCGGTGGGTTTTCCACCCTTGCTGCCCCCATTATTACAAGATGTGAAGGAGGAAAAATCAAGAGTGCAACTGTTGGTGTGGTTTTCATTGGTTCTGTTTTTCCCAAACATGCGAGTCTTTGCACCCTGCTTAGTTTGTTAATAGCGGTCGTTTTTTTCATATTTGGCCACTAGATCATATATGCATATGTTATCATAAATTTAACCACCATGGTATAGAATCAATACATGATGTCTGGTTTGAGCTTCCATGCCGTTTCTCTCTTCCTGGATGTTGGTTCCAAATCAGTTCGGAATCTCGTATCACTCCCAGATATATGACCTTCTCTCTTCACCTCGAAGATTAGAGGTCCTAGGCCCCCTACCACTTCCTTTGATGAAAGTGTTAGTTTGTCTTGATCGCGACTCCATCTTTTTGACTCAAGAAAACATATCTGAATTTTTTTAATTTTGAAGAATGTTAAGATGTAATAGATTTGAAACAGCTGTAGGTACTCAAAAATTATTCATGTCTCTGTCGGTATAATTCTTCCAAGAGGATTTTCCAATTATTCTTTTCGAGAACGGTAATTTATATATTATGTAATATTTGATGTTATAAGGTAAGACTTTTTGAAATATTTATCAATCAATTCAAATTTGGAAACTGGAAGGCGTGAAATTTCAAGACTCACAACTCAAGAAATACCGAACCTAAATTTATTGGGGCTAATATAAAAAAAGGTTACTCAATGATATGATTTGAGCATGTGGTTTCACCTAGCGCTGGTTACTCGATTGGTATTGCTCAAAAATGACAGAGTTTTTGGTTAAACAATGAACATTTATCTAAAAAAGTGTTTAGATCGGGTTGTATTCGTGAGGATTATTTCCTGAAATATTCTCAGCTGAATGTATCGATAAACAAAATAAGATATAAATTCTCAAAATCATTGAATTTTCTCACCTGAATAACGAGAATTTTCAATAATAACATGTGTTTGAAAGTACAATTATTTTAGACACAATATTCGAATATATGAAGAGAGTACTTGAACAACCAAAAACCTATTTTCCAACAATAAACTTTCCATGTTAAAATTCACCGTGCCTTAACATGAGTGAGACTGCAGGGCCGGCACCTGAGGCACCTGATTTACTTGACGTGGCTAAATGCATAAAACCATGTCAATTAAGTGGCTAAATGCATTAAAGGCGGGTTGGCTGTCCTTGTTCATCTTTCACTGCCTGAACCACTGTGCATGCTGTTTTCGGCGAGTGCATGGGCTTGAGATGTGGGGGTTGAGTAAACCGGCCATCGGATGCCTGCTTCC